CCCCTCTGGCCACTCATTCCCAGTGGCTACCTAACAAGATGAATCAATACAGAGAAAAGAATGCTGGATTACAAGTCAAGAGATCAGAATGCTACATCTGGTCGCTGTGTGACAGTTAGAAAATCAATTTAGGTTTGGTCTTCCTCTTCTGCTAAGTAAGAATGTTAAACTAGGTGGACTACAGTGTTTTTTCTAGTATTAAGTCTGATTATTCTATTGCTACTAGTATTACATAACTGTGCAAGCTTTAGTGGATACATTAATGAGCAAGAAAGAAAAGTACTATTCGTTTTTCTTTGGAACATGTCTCAAATATAGCCATTAAACAAACACTTAACACAGTTCATTATTATCTTACTTTTATTTCTAGGTTTAATGTCCTTATTGAAATATACTCTTTACTAGTTGTACTAATTAGAGTGCTTTCAGCTTGAGTCAAAAAAATATGTTATCTTCTCTGACAAGAAATCTGGAGGTAGTAAGTCTTCAGTGTTGGGTAATGCAGGGAAATGGCTTCATTAAAGAGGCAGGTGTACCCGATGTTTTTCTCTTTCGTTTTCCCACAGCTGAGTCTTCCTATTTGCAGAGTACATCAGTAGTTCCAAGCAGTACATCACATTAAAGCAACATCTACAGGAAAGACAGCTGTCTCTTTTCCTGTGTCTCTGTTTACCAGATATTTCCTTGAAGAACCCCCACCCAATTTCCTGTTAATTCTTGAAGCCATAAGAGAGCCAGCAGTTAAACAAATTAGGGAGTTTCTTGGTTTTTACTTTTTAATTTTAAAAAATATTTTATTTAGCCCTGGCTGGCATAGCTCAGTGGATTGAGCACGGGCTGCGAACCAGGCATCGCAGGTTCGATTCCCAATCAGGGTACATTCCTGGGTTGCAGGCCATGGCCCCCAGCAACCGCACATTGATGTTTTTCTCTCTCTTTCTCCCTCCCTTCCCTCCCTAAAAATAAATAAATAAAATCTAAAAAAATCTACTCTTAATTATTTAAAAAATATTTTATTTATTTATTTTTGGAGAGGGGAAGGGAGAGAGAAAGAGAGTGAGAGAAACATTAATGTGTGGTTGCCTCTCTCGCACACCCTACTGGGGACCTGGCCCACAACCCAGGCAAGTGTCCCAGACTGGGAATCGAAATGACAACCCTTCAGTTCACAGACTGACACTCAATCCACTGAGCCACACCAGCCAGGGCTTGTTTTTGATTTAAAGAAGCAGGAAGGAGATAGGAATAAATAAATGTTAGGGCAGGCAGCTAACAATGTCTGATATATATATATAATATGAAAGAATATATATATTCATATCCAACCACCTATTTATGTCCCCTTTTTATTTTAAGGCTTTGAACATGTTGATAATAGTTGTTTTAAATCCCCACCTGCTAATTTTAATATATGGGTCATCTCACAGTGTCTATGAACTGCTTTTTGTTTCTTTGCATGTCTGTTCGCTTGAATTTTTGTCAGACATCGTGGATGTCATATTTTTCAGAGTCTGAATTTTATGGTTTCTTCCTTTAGAGGAAAAAAAAGAGTGTTTTAGCAGGCAGTTAATTTACAAATTGATCAGATTGATTTTTGAAGCTTTGTTAAAGTTTGGAATGCTCGTGTCTCCCAGCAGTATGTGACTTCTTGGTCTCTGGCAGATATTCTCTGTGTCTGCACAGGCATGAAAACTGCAGCTTCTGTTTGTCCAGGCCATAACCCAGGTTCACATCCTGAGACCACCGCAGTGCCAACTCATATAATTATTGCTGTTTTGATTTTGTGCTTTTGGCACCTGGAAGTGTTTCTGTCTTTCTATCATGCACTGTAATGTGTTTAAAAATAAATGAGATTATAAGCTGTCTAGCATTTCTCTGTGTTTGGAACAGGAGATGAAGTGTAGGTCAGTTCAGTCCAATGTATTCCCAGAGGTCTGCTCAAATTAATTTTTTAACTGCATCTGTGATAAATGCTACCAAGAAAGGTTTAGCATAGAAAAGAGGAACCTGTGTATGTTAGAGATACAAAGGAAGATTTCCTGAAGAAGAGATTATTTTCAAGGGAGATCTGAAGGTAGATAAGCAACACTTTCATGCAGATAGAACAACATATGTGGAGTTCCTGAAAAAAGATGGAGATCTGAACATTTCAGGACCTGAAAGAAGGCCAATGAAATTGAAACTCAAAAAACAAGGAGGCAGTTGTTATAAAATGAGATATGGTGAGGTAGAGAGGTGCTAGATTAGGAAGGACCTTGTTGGCTATGTTAATATATTTGGATTTTATTTTGCCTTCCCCCATATCTTCCCTTCCCTCTATCCATTAGTTCAGGAAGTGTAAAATTCTCTGACATGTATATTCATATGTAATGTAAATGTAACATGTTTACAAGTTCTTACAACTGTTAGGCTACTGTGCAGGGGTGGATGCTGGTTCCATCCTTTCTAAAAATACAGATAAGTATCCGATTTAAAACAATTTGAGGTACAAGGTTTTTTCCTAAAATGACACTTTCAGGTAAACAATGTATTTTTATAGAAAATCTGAGAAAAAATAGATATTTATCTACAATAGGCTGTTGTAGTTCCTTTAACAGACCATTTTTATTATGTTATAGAATACCAGTTTATTCATATACATTTATACCTTTGTGCCTGTCTTAGAATTAGTCAAGCCAAGATTTAATATACCTAAAATAACCTGGCCCTTTTTGAAAATCTACTTAATGAAGCTTTTGAAGGCAGATGTATGTATATGCATATTTATTATGCTGGGCAAATAGAGATTACTTTTACCTCCACTCTTTGGAAATCCAGTTCAGAAATCATAGCCACATTATAAAGTGTAAACCTTTGAGATCCCTTATGGCCACAGATATTTGCTATAATGAAAGGAAGGTATCAGTGCACTAAGTACGGAGTAGCTCCTGTGACAGCCAAGAGCATCAGTCCTCGAAACTTTCATGCTCTTGTATTTCAGCCATTGTATTGGAAAGTTTTCAAATGATTTGAAGAGCACACGTGGATGGGAAAAAATTTCTCAGTATTAAAAGTCATGGTGCTAGTTATACCAAAATAATGAAATATGAAAATACTCTTATTTTTCCCTCTGTTAAGGAAAAAGCCTTTAAATATATATTATATATGGTATATATGATATGTGTGATATATATGTTTTATATATATATACACACATACACACACACACATTAAACTTGTCTATCATACTGAAAATAGAATTGCAGCAGAACTTTTGAACTAGCTTGGTTGAAAATGCCTTTCACACAAAGGATAGTGAGAAAAGTACAAGGCCAATTAGCCATAGTAATGTAAGTTATATGCTTTAAGAAATGCTTCAAACTCTTAAGTTTATCAAATTGAAACTTTTCAAGAATATATTTAATGTAACATCTGTGAGTTTTGATTTTAATCTTATTGAAAACCTTTGTTGTTTTGGTACTTATGGATGGAGAAAGACTCTTTAGTCTCAATTTGACTTTATCTAAATGTTACAGAATTTTAAAGACTTGGCCAGCATCATAAGCAAGGAGGCAGGTGTAAATGCCACTGAACAATTCTATGGAAGATTCAGGGCATTTGAAACAGAGGGTGAACAGTGTGTGAATGAGCTCAGTGGTGACTACACTGTCTTTGTTTTTATTTGCAGTAGTTATGATGATTAATGAGCCACTCTTTCAGTCCTCAGTATCTTACTTTTTGTTTTTTGGCCAAGTTAAGGGATTGTTTTGATGTAAAGAACATTTGTTCAATATCCTGAAACTATAACAATTCCGAGTTGGCAGCCAGAGAGAGCAAACACCTGATTGTATTGCATGGTGAATCCTGCTAGTGGGGGGACAGAAGAGGACCTGAGTCTAGCTCCGCCCTCTGGGTTTATTGTGGGCTGTCTCTGCTAGGAGAAACTGTGGCTCCACATTAGTGATTTTTCTCCTTTTCTTGTCACCTACGGAGATGGACTTTTTTCTTTAGGTAAATTTATCCAGAGACTCCCTGGTAATTTTAGCCCAGTAAAAGTCTATTGTTAAAACCATCAGTATTCTCAATATTTAACCATTGTAAACCATAGGCATTAACCAATAAGAAACACAGAGACCATACACACAGAACAGGATGGCTGTGCTGGCCAGTGCCGCTAAATTAACAGCCCTGTTTAATAGCCCGTTTCACTGCCTCAGCCAAATTAAGAATGGTTTGGATTCCTATGATCTTGTAGCTAGCTATTTTTCATGGAGATAAAAAATCCATGTGAAAGAATATTAGTTGTTATTTTTTGGTGTCAACTACTAAGAAGTTAATAATTGTGGTGAAACGCTTAAGGTCAGTGACCCAATCCCATTAATCTTTGAGGCTTCAGCGACTGTCACAGTGCTGGACACAGCAGCATAAACATTTTCCATCATTGTGGAAACAGGCCATCATTCTGTCTTCTTGGAACTAAGAATAGATCCAGAATTTTCAAATGAAAAACAAGTGGTGAATGTATTGCTGTATGTAGCCCATTCTTAAATATGTGAAAATGGCACATATTTAGATTTGTAGATGTTAAATTATAATTCTCAGAATCTCAGAAGTTTCTGAAACTAGCCTTGAACTTAACATTAGTATAGTTTCTAAGAGCTTTGTCAGTCTTCATTAGATGTTTAGATTCACCAGTAAACAGTTTCAAAAGAAAAAGCAAGCTAACTAAAAAGAATTATAAAATGTTAGCTCAATTTACTTTATGGAGTGGTGGGGAATTTTGAACACTGGGAGATAGCCCTGTGATATATAACAGCTCACCTTACAGAAAAATTTCTGTGTACAGACAAGAGTTATAGATATAGAATATTACAAAGGCTTATGTTACAAAGACTAATCAGAAACCTGAGGGTGACAAGGCAAAATGTTTTTTAGCTCACTAATGACATTGATAGACAACAGGGAAAATACTGCTGTGAATATGCTACATTGTAATTTTTGTTTATTATTTTCCTTATCAGGAACCTTTCACTGAAATTAACAAGAGACATCGATCAGGAAGCCAGGTGCTCCCACATTAGCCGCATGCCCAGCAGTCCATCAGCAGATTGGCCCCTGCAAGGTGTGGAAGAGAATGGAGGCATAGATTCTCTGCCTTTCAGACTGATGCTACAGGACTGCACAGCTGTCAAGACATTATTATTAAAGATGAAGAGAGTTCTGCAAGAGGTAATGGTTTATTCTGAGATTAATGTCTTTCAGTGCTAGTCAACAGTGAAGTCTGTAGGCCTGCTTAGTCCTGGGTTCTGTTACTGTTACAGGAGAAACTCCCAGAAACTCGGTTCTTTTCACCATGCAGTGAAGAATTATAGATCGGCGAGTCTGTTAGCGTACAAGCAGGGTTTACTGGTGATCTGTTCTCATGGGAGAGAAGGGGCCTAGTTAAGGTACCTGGGGATGGGGGCACTGAAAGGCATAGGTTCAGGGCAAAGCAGGATAAGGGTGGCCAAAGGCCAAGGTGTCAAGTGTAGGGGTGGTGAGAGCCGAAGTAACAAGTGTGTACCTGGCCAGAGGCCAGGTGGCCTGGGGCCATGAGGCCAGAGAGCCAAGAGCACCATGTCCCAGGGTCCTTTGTTCTGAGGACTTATATAGTTGGTGGGAGGAGGGGTGAGGGAGTTACATATTGATTGACTGGTAAAGGTGATGCCAGCTTTCTGTGGGGGCAGGAGGTTGCATGGATACCCAGAGGTGTCAATGGGCTTCTTTCTTTGGGCACTATGGTCCCCTTCCAGCCTTTCAGGCCTTGGGATGAAAGCACGGTTTCAAAGGCTTTCTTTCCCTGATAGTGGAGATGATAGTGTAGATCTCAAGGACTGCCCTCCTCCCGTGTCAGCAGGTGTTTCCTGGGATGGTGGAACACCTGGCAATATCACCGGACCAGGCTCGGGACTGCCGTGTCAGTGGGCGAGACAGGCCTTCCTCCTCCCCGCTGCCCTGCTCTGCTATCTGTCCTTCCTAACATGACTAACTGCATGACACTGGACAGGGAGCAGGTATCCTTTTGGAGTTCAGCTTGTCTCATATAGTAAATGAAGGATTTGGAGTTCTGCTTTACAGGTACTCTTCAGCTCTAAAATTTTAATATTCCATGAAGGAATTGAGAAAGAATAATTGATACCAAGACTGGGAAAAGTCAGGTAAAAAGAAATAGGCATTGGCTGCTATGTTTATACGCTATTGTAAAGCTAAATAGAGATATTAAATGAACTTCACTTTTAAGATATGGAGGCTTATTTATACAATACGATAAAGGTTTGGTCATTTAGTTCCACTAGAAACAAACCCAGTGAAATGGACTCTGGATGTCTGACTGGTGCCTCCCTGTCGAACACAGACACCCCACAGCCTGTGTGCGTCAGATGGTGTGCTGGGCTGGTGAGTGCCGAACGGGCCCTTCCACCTTTATGTCCAGGAGCCAGCTGTTCTTTACATTCAAGTGTGTTACGGTTGTAATTTTATAACCACCCCAGTGATTTTCTGTCAGGGATTCTTATAAAAAGTGTATACATTAGAATTCAAGACAACAGCCTCAGATTTCTGACTTCCAGTTTAGTGAATTTTTAGTATATGCCATTGTCATTCATTCGATTTCTTTTTGTCGATAGGGGATACTTAACAATAGTGTGAAAAGAGTAATCAATGATATTACGGTTAACCTTACAATGATAATCAATGATAATTGCTTTTCTAACACTTTGCTAATAAAAGTGCCAGCTCCTACCACTAGAGGCCACAATGGAATCAGGAAGAGAGAAGTATATTTAAGAGACAGACTGTTGAGGACACTCAGTCACATGTTATCATCCCTTTAAAGCACAAGCTGTCAGTGACCTCTCCATCTCATACCAGTTACAATTACTGGGAGGTCTTTTTGTCTAGAATATATGCAGTGATGTGCAGCAGTGGTGTGCTTATTCTTGATCACAGAATTTCAGGAATGGTTAAGAGCTGGCATATAAGCACAGGCATAGAAAATTACATACACTCATAATGAAACAAATTATAATTTTAAAAATATAATCAGAATTCAAACCTCACTTTTTATTTATTTTATTATATTTAACTATTAACTATATGAGCTTATTTGTATCTATTGGGTGCATATATGGAAATTCTATATAATAGCTACTATACACATTTCCCAATTGTAGATTCAGTTAGGCCATTTTGGCACCTTTAAATTGGCCACATGGGAGTATTATGCCACAGAAATTGGCAAACACTATAAATTGGGGCATTTAATTTTGGGTGAGCCTTTTGTTAAATATTTACTAACCCACCACTATCCGATGACTATATAGTCTCTACACTGACCACATAAGCATCTTCATGGTCTTGTGGAATCTCCCTGACCTTTGGCTTAACATGCAGTCTGAATCTCTTTGAACAGGCAAACTTAATAACAGCTGTTATGTCAGTAACAGCTGATCATCAATAAATCAACAAACAACAACTACCGGCAAAGATGTAGAGAAAGTGGAACTGATTTGCGCTGTTGGTGGGAATTCATACTGGTGTAGCCACTATGGAAAACAGTATGGAGATAGCTCAAAAATTAAAAATAGATTTGGCTTTTGACCCAGCGATCCCCTTCTTGGAAATATATCTGAAGAAATCCAAAACACTAATTTGGAAGAACATAAACACCCCTATGTTCAATTGCAGCATTAGTTATAATCTCCAAGATATGAAAGCAGCCCAAGTATCCATCAGTAGATGAGTGGATAAAACAACTATGGCGCATTTACACAGTGGAATACTACTCAGTTGTAAAAAAAAAAAAGTTTTATTCTTTGTGACAGAATGGATGGACCTGGAGAACATAATGTTCAGTGAAATAAGCCAGTCAGAGAAAGACGAATACCATGTGATTTCACTCATATGTGGAATCTAATGAACAAACTAAACTAATGAGCAACAGAGAGACAGACTCGTACATAAAGAGCAGGATGACAGCTAAGAGGGGAGGCCTGGGGTGGAGGGGCTGTGCAAAAAAGGTAGAAGGACTCATGGACAACAGTGTGATTGTGGCAGGGAAGGAGGTATAAGGGGACTAAAGGGTAATGGAAAAAATACAGTAAAATAAGATATTAATCTTAAAGTTGGTAACATTAAACTATTTGGCTTTCTATATCTTTCTTTGGTCTAGATTTTAATTTTAAAAATTAATACAAGTAAAGGGAAGTAGAAGAAGACCTGACAGGAAGAGCCAGGAGGCTTTCTTAGGGCACTCAGTTTTTTAATGTAAAGCTATTTAATTATATTCACTATCAAGTCAATATTCAGAATATATTGAGATTGTTTTTATACTTATGTGTTTTATACTTACCTGTTTTTCTTCATGAAAAAGTATTTGAAGAAACTGAAGAGAATTGATTTTTAAAGATGATGTACAATGAGCAATAATTATATCTGTTTATTAAGCCCATTCAGAGAACAGGGAGTCTTAAATTTTTTATTGTCAACAAGAAAAGCAGTATTATGGTTAATGTAGACAAGTGTTCTAATAATAAGAGGCTCATACTGGATGCCTTTAAATAAAGTGGTTTATTGAAATATTGTTTAAACTAGGAATTTTCAATGGTACAGTGGTATAATGGTAAAATGGTATTTTCATTTCATTGCTATATTTGAGTTGAATACCAACAATTAACTTTAGATTAAAAATATCATTTTAATATAGAACAGTAATGTTTATTCCTATTTTATGAACTTATTTTTTGATGCATAGTAGTCTGACTTTAATATACAGATTATTTTTTAACTGCAGAAGAACCCAGCATCATGCTAGAAAATGCTCTTACTTGAAATTTTTTGTAATGGTGTTCAGTTGACATCTAAGATTTTAATTGTAAAATGGATCAAGTGTGGATAATCTGAATGAAATCTCACCCTCTAATATTGCCCCCTTTCTTTGAAGACCAGTTGCTGTTATTAAAATGCACATGTATGTTCCCAATAACCCCAGACATCACAAGCATCAACTCCTTACATTAAAAAAAAAAATAGACTTAGGTCCCTTAGAAATCATACTGTCACTTTATTCTTTAATATTACTGATAGAAGAATTGACTGTAGCAAAGGTGATTTTTTTCTCTTGTTAATGTTTTAAAACATGATTCTGTTATCTATATAAAAGAGGATGTTTAATATCTTCAGGGATAGTTTTTGTTATAATATTTCCTTTTATTTTTTTCTGTTCTTTTGCAGGGGTGTCAAACTCATTTTCACTGGGGGCCGCATCAGCCTCATGGCTGCCTTTAAAGGGCCAAATGTAATTTTAGGACTGTATAAACGGAACTACTCCTTAACTAGGGGCAAAGAGCTCGGCACTGCCATAGGGTAGAAACAAAGTGGAGGGCCGGATGCGGCCCCTCAGGCCTTGTGTTTACCACCTGTGATTTAAAGTCTGAGAATAATTCTTCTTGGTTTTTAGTTCCTCCCTCTATATTCTCCTTTCTACCCTCCTAGTCACACTTTCTTTTGTGTAAAATTAGCACATATTTACAGCTGAATAGTTTTCTCCTCAATTATGCTTGTATCCATTGACATCCAAAAGTCTCTTTTAATTTTGTATTCTCTTTCCTTTTAAGGCCAACTACAAAGTCTTTCTGTAAATATAATTCACTTAAATTCTTATAAGTTTCCCTGTGAACCTTATTAGGAATTCACTGTATCAGACAAAAGCCCCATGCCATACTCACAAATCTCTTTAAGATAAGCCCTTCTTCAGCTTGAAATAGCTGATAGACAATACTTTACGATTTTCCAATTTTAATTGTCAGTTGGTAGGATTTGTGAGACATACCCTAAAACCTCACCTTTTGATGACTAAACTAGGCTCTCTGCAGCACTGAATAAGATTCAGTGCTTTATTATGCAGACCAAGTTAGAGTGCTGTTGTGAATTCTTACAAATTGTTGTTAGAGCTTAATTTCCCCACCCCCTGCCATTTTTAGAATAATGTAAGTTAAAACACATAACATACCACTGTCTTCATACACAGCAATGAACCCCATTGTGTATTCCCTGGGAAACTTGTGGTCTTAGATTTACTGAGAATAGGTGGGTTTCTGGATAAGAATATTCTGTCTACATAAAGTCTGGCTCTTTGTGAGGAGATAAAACTACTCTGTAAAGTAGATACGAAGGTGGGGGGTTAGTATAAT